TGAGTGAGCTTGGACTCAAGGTACTTCTCGATAAAAGCCTTCTTTCTGGTTTAAAATCTTTTAATTTAGATTTTTTTGAGTCATGCTTATTTGGAAAGCATAACAAATTGCGTTTTGCTTTATCCACTGCTAAAAGTAAGGATTTTTTTTAATTGATTCATTTGGGCACATGGAAATTACCTGTTGTTTCTATGGGGGTGCTGCATATTGTGTCACTTTTATTGGTGATTTTTTAATAAAAGTGCGGGTTTATATCCTGAAAGAGAAATCAGATGCCTTTAGTTGTTTCCAAAACTTCAAGGCTTAGGTAGAAAATCAGAAAGGTAGGAGCATCAAGTGTCTAAGAACTCAGAATAGGGAAGAATTTTGTTATGGTGAATTTTAATAGTTTATGTAGTGAGCATGGTATTGCTAGGTAGTTAACAATTCTTAGAACACCTCAGCAAAATGTTGTTGTTGAGAGAATGAATTGCACCATTCTAGAGCGTATCAGGTGTGTGTTGAGTGTTCCCAAGTTAGAGCAATGTTTTTGGGCAAAAGCGGTTTGTACAACTTATTTCCTAATCAATAGGTCTCTTAGTTCTGCTATTGATTACAAGACACCAGAAGAGGTTTGGATAGGTAAATCTGTTGATTATTATTTCCTTCGTGTTTTTTACTGTGATGCATATTCTTTGACTCCAAATGATAAAAGAACTAAGATTGATGAAAAATCCAAAAATTGTGTTTTTCTTGGCTATGTTGATGGTACATACGGGTACAAATTGTGGGATCCTACTGACCACAAGGTTATAATTATTCGAAATGTTCTTTTCATTAAAACTTCCATGCAGAAAAAGAAAATGAGCCAAATGAAAAAACTGTTGAGGTGGAATGCACCCATGACAACCAGCAAGATGGTGGTCAGGACCAAGAACTTGAAATTGTCCAAGAGCTTGAAGAATATATAGGTGATCTTGAATGAAGAAAATCCGATAGACCTAAAAAGGCTCCTATGAGGCTTAACGACTATATCTTGTCTTGTGCTTGCCTAACATAGGAGGGTGAGCCAGTTTCTTTTCGTAAGGCATGTGAGGTCGATGAAGCTGGTCAATGGAGAGCAACTATGGAAGAAGAGATGGAGGCCCTGCAAAAAAAAAATATATGAGACCTCGTCAAATTACCAGATAAGCGAAAGACAATTGGTTGTAGGTGGGTTTTCAAGGAAAAAAAATGTCATGATGATACTGTTGAAAGGTATAGAGCTCGATTGGTTGTGAAAGGTTATGCCCAAAAAATAAGTACTGCTTTAGATGAGATTTTTTCTCTTGTGCGCATGTCCACTATTAAAGTTGTTTTGGCTATGACTGTTGTTCTTGATTTAGAGTTGGAACAATTAGATGTGAAAACTACATTTTTGTATGGTGACCTAAAAGAAGAAATTTATATGACCCAATCTGAGGGTTGGTAAAGAGAATTTGGTTTGTAGGCTCAAAAAATCGTTGTACGGGTTGAAATACGTGACGAGGTGTTGGCACAAAATTTTCTTAGATGTGAAACTGATCATTGTGCTTATTTTCGTGGCTATAGTGATGAAAGCTTTATTATCTTGTTATTATATGTCGATGACATGATTGTTGTTGGACCTAACAATGAGAATATTGCAACACTTAAAGCTCAGTTGGTTAGACAATTTGAGAAGAAAGAATTGAGAGTCGTTAATCGAAAGATGAGTGCACTTAGAGACAAGAAGAACATGAAAATCTGGTTAACTCATAAGAGTTATGTGGAAAGGGTTATGCGACGCTTCAATATGAAGAATGCAAACCAGTTAGTACCCCATTTCCTGTGCATATGAAGTTATCTTCGAAACAAAGTCCTTGCACTGAAACAGATAAGACACAGATGTCTCGAGTACCATATCCATTTGTAGTTGGGAGCCTGATGTTTGCTATGGTTAGCACCAAGCTTGATATAACACAAGCAGTGGGAGTTGTGAGCAAATATATGGCAAATCCTGGTCATGATCACTAGACCGCTATAAAATCGTTCATTTCGGCATTTGAAAGGAACTTGCGATGCTGGTATTTGTTACGGTGGAATAGATTTGAAAGCCACTGGTTATGTCGATACTGACTTTGATAAAAGAATGTCTACTACCATATATGTTTTTTCTTTGGGAGGTGGTGCAGTTAGTTGGTTATTGAGGTTGCAGTCTATGGTGCCTTTGTCTTCTAAAGAGGCTGAGAATATATCACTTTCTCATGTATCTAAAGAAGCAATTTCGCGAAATAGGTTACTTGGTGAATTCCGAGTTGTGCAAGTTGATATTCCACTTCATTGTGATAACCAGAGTGCCTTGTTTCTAGCATGGAATCCAACCTTCCATGACAAGACCAAACATAATGATGTTCAATATCACTTTTTTCATGATGTGGCAGATGATGAAAAAATTTTATTGCTGAAAATTCATACTTATGACAATCCAACGGATATATTGACTAAGCCTATTGAGAAAGGGAAGTTCACTTGGTGCAGGACTTCCTTGCAGCTTGTGGTCACTTGATGAATAGTAACTGGTGTGCAACAAATTTTTGGAGCAGATTAGTCAGAATGGAAACATATCTTCAAGTGAGAGAATGTTGGATAAGGAAGCCATATGTCCAAAATGTATGGTGTGAAGGAGCTTTCCTATCTTATAGGATGAGAGTTCCTTGTTTTAAGGAAACTCATGTAGGTTTCTTGTGTTGCTAATTCTATGGATTATGTGATCTCTTGAGATAAAGATTCTTACTCCTTAAAAGATGGGAAATAAAGTCCTAGTAGATATAGGAAATCTATGAGAAATAGGAAACCATATCATATTAAGAATGGGAGAGGCCTCACGTGGGTCTCTGTGTCTTCTTTATAAAAGGTGGTTTTGTGAAGAGAGAAAATTATGCATGAAATCCAGAGAGAGAAAACAGTTAGTTTTTTGTAGTCATTGGGTGGATATTCTAGTGAGGAAAAGACTATGATTTAGGGCTTGAGAGAGAGAGATATAGAGCTTATAACCCCTTGGATTCTACATACTTGCATGCTATTTTTCTTGTCATTGGAAGAGAATGTTGTTGTCCCGTGGATGTTGGCAACTTGCCGAACCACGTAAATCTGTGTTTATGTTCTTTTATTTTTCCACATTATTTTTCTTTCCCTTATTTTTTCCCAAACCTTGGTTTTAGCCTTTACATATCCTTGGCTGGTTCCATTGAATGGTTTCTCTCTGTTTCAATGTCGTATAGGTTTACTACATTATTAACTATTCTTGCATATGTGTGTGTTTCTTGTGTGTGTGTGTTTTCTTTTATGATGATATTGTATTAGAAAAATCAGCAGCAAATTTATGACAAATTGTGCTTGAAATCATACTAGGGAAAGATTGATCAACCTGAGTTTGATTCATATAAATTATGGGTACTGAGTTAACACCAATATTGATCTATTTAGATCAGTTTTGATATATTTTAAGCGTCAAAATTGGTCCTTCTTGTTGATTATACAGCAGTGTTTAACAGACTGTTTTTGTTTACTTTTTCATATTTTTTTTCATTAGATATATGAATTTTACTAAGTTACAGTTGGAGATCAGTGTCGTACAGTTGGAGATTTTTTAACAGAGAGAGATATACTGCAGAGAAAGGGGTGGCAATGGGTTTGGTTCGGCTGGACCAGGACCCAGACCTGAATGTATTTGGGTCGAGGTTTTAGACCCGGACCTGACCCGTCGGGTCCAAAAGTTGGACCCATACCTGTACCTATCAGTTCTCGAGTCTATCCTGTCGTGTACCGAGTCTAGTTGGGTCCATGCTACCATCACTATGCGCTTCTTTTTTTTTTGCCCTTTTTTTACTATCATGAACCCGTATTATTGGCAACAAGGTCACATTCACCTACTATTAGATTTTAACCCGTTTGATTTGTCGTTTAATAGCTAAAGATGACTACGAATTCTTATTGTATATGATCCGTAATACACCCGAACAAATAGGGCTTGAAGTGTTTTATTTCCAACAGTTTATGGGTACAGGTCAGGTCCAACTGGACCTGGATGCAGACCCGACTAGTATTTAGGTCCAGGTTTTGGACCCAAACTCGCCTTGCAGGTCCAAATGTTGGACCCATACCCGGACCCGTGTCAGGTATACCTGCCAGGTCTCGGGTTGGGTCCCGGTTCATTGCCACCCCTATGAAGAGAGATATGTCCTGCATTCCACCCCTACGAAGAGAGATATGTCCTCCATTCCAAGGCATTGTTAGGTCATAATCTCTTTCCACCCCTTGTTTGGATCTTTTCTATTTGGTGCACCTTGTGCTCATATTTGCATATGTGCTTGTGTATGCTTCACATTCCTATGAGAAATGAAATAAATGTAATGAGCAAGCATTGATGGTCTTCTGGTTGTTGGTTTTATTGTTTATTTCAAAGAAATTTATTTGTTGGTTTTCTTTTAAATCTGAAATCTTCTTCTAATGCCAACCACTTCCAAAGATGCCAGAGAGAGAGAGAGAGAGAGAGAGAGAGAGAGAGAGAGAGAGAGAGAGAGAGAGAGAGAGAGAGAGAGTAGTAGTAGTAGTAGTAGTAGTAGTAGTAGTGTAGTAGTAGTAGTAGTAGTAGTAGTAGTACGTAGTAGTAGTAGTAGTAGTAGTAGTAGTAGTAGTACGTAGTACGTACGTACGTACGTACGTACGTACGTA